ACCGCCCCCCACAACCCGGCATGCAGCAGTTCTCTAACCCCTCCCAAATGTTTCCCAACCTGCCTCCCAACGCTCAGTTCCCCAACATGAGCCAACGTTTTCCCAACCCTTCCCAACAACCCTTCCCCTCCCAACAACAACAGTTCTCCAACATGTCCCAGCAGAGATTCCCTCCCTCGTCTTCTCCTAACTTCCAGTCCCCGTTTCCCAACACCTCCTCTCCCAACGCCTCCATGGCGGCTTTCATCAACCAGATGCAGAACTCGGCGGCGAAGGCGGCCATGTCGAACAACGCCAACGTTCCGCCGCACGTGTTGAACATGCGGGAGGGCGGCAGGGGAATGAATGAAGGACCCAGCCCGCTGGCCAGTCTCAGTAACCAGGTGGGACAGGTGCCGCAGCCGCCGATGCCACCTGGCATGGGTCAGCAGCGCTCACCTGGTCCTAACAAACAGCAGGCCATGCCACCTGGTGAGTTACTGTTAAACTTTGTTGAACTTCGCAGTACCTCGATTTATGGTAGGAGGGATAGGATCTGATTTTTACAGTGCTATAAAATTGTAGTTGAAAGAATTCTAGTAATACAGTTACTGTGTACAGTAGTAATATATACTTGTAACGGTAGACATAAGTCACAAAGTACTAGTGGAGACATCATCACAAAAATAAAACCGTTGTGGGAGTTTCACAATTTACCATTAATAACTGTAATAATGATTTCCCCTGCCATTTTTGTTCACATAATTTGACCGCATTACCCTTAAAATAGTACTTCGCAAATTTTGTATCTACATTCACAATGTCATGTACAAATTGGCAATGGTACATGACTTTGTACAATGCCATTACTTAGGTCATCACACAGGTGCAGTACCAATTCTTCTTGGTTCAAGATGAAACTAAGAAGTGTAAATGGGTGTATTTGAAGATTGTGATTGTTACAAACAAGAGTTCATACAAGATCATATTGGGGTCCAATTAGTAAATTTGAGTGAACCACAACAGAATTACCAGTATCAAAGGCAGTCTGAAGGAAGACCCCCACTTCGTCTGTAGCCAGTGTAGTGTTACTTTTCTCTCAAAGATGTTCCAAGTATGCATAATATAGATTCTGAAATGATTGTTTACAACATTTTGTGTTATTTTACGTCTGTAACTCAAGTGTTTGTTGTTATTCCGATGTTTGTCCAGGTGGTATGAAGGATGTGCCCTTTGACCCCCCGACGTCTGCGCACAGTTTCCTGCAGGGCCAGGCGGAGTTCCAGTCTGCGTTCCTGCGCTACGTCCAGAGTCAGCAGAGACAACCCCCTCCCCGCGGGGGGCGCAGGGGGTCCCCAGGGGCAGCCACGTCCCCGGGGCTGGCAGGACTAGGACCCCCGGGGGGCTCCCACCCCACCCCGAGCACCCGGGCCGACGTTCCCCCCACCCGGGGGACCTGGACCCTCCCCGGGGTCAGCATCCCCCCACCAACCAACAATGGAACCTCCCCTGGGACCAGGGGCCATGCCCTCCGTGTCAATGGGACCAAATAACGGGACACCAAATGTGCCTGATAATCCATCTCCAGCGAGCAATACCACAACCCCCCCTGTGGAGGCAACCCCCCAGAACATGGGACACCCCTCGATGGGACCGCCACAGGGGCCGAATGGACCTGCACAGCCACCCCCTGTAACAACTGCACCATCCCTGGGACCACCCCCTGGGACAGTGGGACCACCTACCGGGACAGCTACACCACCTATTGGGACAGCAGGACCAACCATTAGGACATCAGGACCACCTCTCCGGACAGCAGGACTGCCCCCTGGGACAGCAGCACTAACCCCTGGGACAGCAGGACCAGCCATCGGGGCAGCAGCACAGGGACTCCGGACAGCAACACCAACCCCTGGGATAGCAACACCAACCCCTGGGACAGCAGGACCAGCCCTTAGGAGTGCAGGCCTCTCTCCCAGGCTGGCCTCACCAATGCCTCACAGTTCTTCCCCTACTGCAGGGAAGACACCAGGCCCAGGTACAGTACATGCAACTAGAAATCACACAGCACGTCAGCAGAACGCAGTGTGCCTGCATGTAACCAAGATTTTCACGGTTTTGGTAGATGTCTGACACAACATTTGAAAAATATAGACATAATTTCATCCTTAAATATGTGCATCAGTCTCAAATAAGGCATTCTGCTGAAGTGTAATGTATAACAGATCACGGTTCTTTTCATGTGTAATGCGTTAGGCAAATGTGATAGATCACACAGACCCACTAACAAACAATGGATCGTCTGGCTCACAGTGTGAGTCCCACTCAAAAATTATATATATATTGATTATAGTTTGTGTGACTAAAGTCCATACAGCAGTTTGATTGTTTTAATGTTCTTCCTTTTACAGCAATAAATCAGACTGAGTGATAATACAAAATGTGTATCTGTGTATACTGTGGTTGTCTTTTAACTATCTTTTTTCTTTTTTTCAAAGTCAAATTTTACTAGAGGTTGTGTAGCAGGTTTTCTCCAGTTCTTTATTTGTGTCCTAGGGAATAAGACAGGTGGGCTACATGTAATACAAGCATCATGTTTCCAACCTTACAGGTACCAGTCAACAAAACCAGTCTGTGCCAGATCTGTCCGGTATGAACCAGTCACAGCCAGACCAGACTGGAAAGTCAGGTCCATCAGGGGATAACACAGCCTCACAGGCACCTGGGGAGACAACGCAGAGTCAGCTGCAGGGCCCTGCAGAGTCGCTAGGGGGAAACGGAACAGCTTCAAACGTGGCGGCGGAACCAGACAACGTTAAGGCGCCCGGATCAATCGCCCAGCAATCAGTTACACATGGTACGTGCGATAGCCACAATTGTACATGTATGTGCATTATACATTCTGCATTAAGATAATCAGTTTCAACAGGGTTTACAGTACATGTACATTGTATATTGGAATGTTATGTTGCACAATTTTTTTCTGGACAGCTGATGGCAAGGTCACAATCATCGCACATGTACATGTACAATGTCCACTTGCTCAAGGCAAGTAAAAGCACTGTTACTGTGTTAGGGCAAGTGCATATTCCCCATATGCCCAATTGGCAAGTCAATTTTTTGGATGTGGCATTATGCCCCAGTGTTTGGAGCAAAATCACTCAAAATTTTTTCATAATGTATTCCCATATACATGTATCTTATTGATGACAGTCAAAAGTATGACTTTTTGTCAGAATCATTAATTTTGCAAGTCTAAAACCTCCTTACTTTGGGAAATACTCAAGTCAAGCATGGAACAATACAAAGTTTTTTTTTTACTGAAACAAATTTCCTTGCACAGAAATATGTCATTAATTTTATATTTTGCATTTGGCAAGTGAAAAGTTGACATTTTTAGGTCTAAGACTGTGAGCCTTTTCAGCTGAATTTTACCAGACAATTATCTCAAAAATGTCCTTTACAACCATACAACAATTGCAGAAGTATGTGACCTGGCCCTAGCTGCATCCTTTTGTGTGTGTTTCTTTCCAATGATTCCTTCCCACATTGTCCACACACTGAGGCTACCGTATGGTCCCACAGAGAAAGCAGGCGCAAAGGAACAAGCCAGCACTAGTTCACCATCAGTACCACCAGAGGTACAAGGTAATGGTAAAACCTCATGTACAGCCTCCCAGGTGGACCCACAACCTGATGCATCTGGCACTGGTCAAGACAAACCAGAGGGGGAAGGTGGAAGCATGGGGGAGGGGGTGAGCAAGGGTGGAGCACAGGAGGATACAACCCCGCCCCAGGACAGTGGTAGTGAGATGTCGGCAAGCGAGGGGGGAGGTGGGGGAAAGGGAGAGACTGTTGGCATGGCAACAGAGGTGGTAGCCCCACCTAGCAACCAGGAAGGTAGGGAGCTTTCTTCCTTTGAAGTGTGGAAAGTACATGTAGGGCAGCAGGTTGGCAGAATGCACTGCGCCTGTGAGAAAGCCAGATTTTTTACAGTTTTTGTTTGTGCACAGTGTTGCATCTGACAATCAGAATTTTCTCTGTTGCAGACAACATCTTTTCTGACGCAACTTTTCAGAACCGTGAATGAGATGTCATCCTTAGGCCACACCAATTTACTTTGTTGGTTCTTGGATTTTTTCAGAAAAAATATGAAGCGACAGGGCGAAAAAAAAATAAGAATGTAAAAAGGGCTAGACATCCTATTATAGCCCCAAATGCTGCTATTATAGAAGCCAAGGAGTCAACACAATAGGCTGGGTTAATATTTAAACAATGAATTATGAACTTTTAATCAAACCACTGCATTGATAGTTGGAAAAACTGTAACAACTAGGAAGAAAAGGACTTTCCTCAACTGCAAATCAGAAAAAAATGAAAAGGCGAATACGAGAACCAACAATTTGGCCTGAAATTTGTAAATATGACCCTAAACTGCCAAAGCGCTATGCACAATTATATAGTACATTCAGGTATCGCACAGGCTCAATAGGTTCTGCCAACGTGCTATGTAGGGCTAGGAAGGTACACAGTCTAGCTGAAAGGCACTGTCGTCAGTCTCTGTGCCTTCCAGCAAGTTTGTGCACCTTTAGTTTGTGAGGTGTGCACTTCGGTGTGTCTTGTTAACTTTGGAGTTGCACTTGACACTGAGCTTGCTTTTGTATAACCACACCTTCTTTTTGGCTTTTGTAGCGATGCAGTGCAGAAACTAATTCTACTCATACTAATCTCAATAGCTTGTCCAGCGTGGTTGGCATTGTATATGATTTTTTTTGCAAATCTTTGTATAAAGAAGTGATTCAACGTTCTTTTTCTTCCTTTTCTCTATAGAGTCTATCCCTGTGAGCTCCATGGAGACCTCATGTTCAACTGGTGGCCCTGTTCAAAGTGGTTCAGAAGTCAAGGTATGTTTAAAAGGGTGACCCTAAACAATTCACTTGAAACCTACATGTACCTCTTTAATGTCTGTCTACATGGTATTGTGTACAAATCATGATCAAGAGTCATCGTATAAGTTAACATATAGTATAGTATAGTATAATAACTAAAAAAAATCTGTCCTTAAAACATGTGAAAAAGTCCTGCAAAAGATGTACAATTTTCACCTAAATCGTGTTCATTTCTCGTGTAAAATCTGTGTAGATGTCCGTATAGATACAGTGCATAATTGCGCGTGATTACATGAACCGGTATGTGTTATATACATGTAATACATTATGCAGATAGCCTAACAGAAATACAGCTACATGTAATTAGTTCACATGTTTTATGTGGCTTTTGCATGGGTTTTAAGCCCTTGTTACATAACTTTTACATGGCTTTCAATTGCAATTAAAAGGCAATTTGCTTGGCACAAGAAATACATGTAAACATGTTAAAAGTCGTGAGAAGGGCAGTTCATCGAGATCTATATATTAAGCTTTTAGCTACTTTGATGTATTTTCAAGTTGGTAGATGCACTAAGTAGATATAAAAACCATCATGTTAGATTTTAAGTCACTTTAGAAACTAAATGTTCTTGTTCCTTTTTTTTTCTAGCAGACACTGGATGTGCAGCAAGAAAACACAACAACAGAGGCTGGTAACAAAGATCTCCCCCCAGCAGGTGAGGGAGGAACTGCAGCGCCGACAAAACAGGCAGGCAGCTCAGAAACAGCAGCTGCAGTACAGCAGGAGCTGCCAGGGGGCACAGGTGGTACTACAAACAGCACTTCAGGTCAACCTGCATCAGGTCAACCGGCGTCTGGAACAGGTTAGGGACATTTTCTTACTGTAAGGCCAATATATTATCAAAATTAATCAACAATTATTGTTGATTTGATAATATAATGTCATTGACATCCTCTGGGAGCCCCAAAACTGACACGAGCGTGCAAATAAAAATAAAAGTTTAGGCCACACCAATTTAATTCCTTGGTTAATGGATTCGCCCGCTTCATTTTTTCTGATTTGAAAATAAAAATAAAAATTCAGAATCAACTGCAAAATGCTCTTATTTTGCTCTGAACAGTTGAAAACAGCCCTTTTCCTCCTAGTTGTTACAGTTATTCCATGCAGTTGTATCAATTTTAAAAAATAAAAGTTCAAAATTCATTGTTTAAATTTTGAACCAGCCTGGTGTGTTGACTTCATTGCTCCTATCGTACCATTTTGGGCCATAATAGGATGCGTAGGCCCATTTTTATTTTTATATTGTCCGCCCGCTCCATTATTTTTCTAGAAAAATCCGTTAACCAAGAAATTAAATTGATGTGGCCCTAGTCCAAAAAAAAGTTTTCTTCATTATGAAATCTACGTGGTCATGAAGGTTTAACAAATGACATATGGTATGGCGAATTATATAAGTCTTCAAATTAATTTCTTTACATTTTCATCTTTTTTGTTTGATTTTGGCATTCTACGACATTGGTATCGTTTTCCAATGTTTGTTTTTTTCAACTTTTGCTCATTTTGCAACTGTTTTGTACGATTTACAGTATGGTTGAAAACTTTTTTTTGAAAACGGTCAAAAATTCATGCGCGTGCGGATGTCACCATATAATCTAATCAGCATGGCTTAAATAAAAATATAATATATTACTAATGGTTTTATGTTTTCCTCACTGTAATCATATGTTAATACATGTATGTCATGCTAGTTAAATGTATAATTGTTTCAGCCAGAACACAAAATACTATGAATGCCTCTTTTCTCTTTCCACTACAAAATCAAGTCCCTGAAACATAAAACAGAAGTTAACAGTATTCTCTTTATATTTTAAAATACAGACAATGTTGTGGATCAGTTTGAAACAATGTCAGATAATTCTAATAAATAGTATGTAACCTTTATGAATTTAGTCTCTTTGATTGCAGTAGTTAGAAAGGTTTATTGAATTGTGCTCATTTTTTTCTTTAGCAGATGACAAGAAAGGAGAAGAAAAAACTCCAGAAGTCCCGACTTCGTCTCAGGAGCAGACTGCCAAGAAACGTGAATTACCTAAAGATCTGGGTGAGTTAAGAATGTTTTTTCAACACTTTCACATGTATATAAACAAAGATGGAATCCAAACAAAACTGTCTGTAGTTGTCTATGCTCAATCAAGAGACTGAGCAAATTAGTCTTGCAGTTAGATGAGAAAATGTTGGGTGTAACACGTCGTTTGGTGTAATATAGTCAGCCGCGCAGCGTGGCTGCAAAGCTGGCCAGGTATGTTATGCCAAAGGGCAGTTATACCCGCTAAACAGGTACAGAATCTGATACAGATCTACAGAAATTTGACCACTATGGCCAGGTAACCACAGTGTCCGTACCTGATCACCAGCAATAAGCGACACAAACACAACAGCCTTATTCACTGGTGTCTGTCACATTTTTGAATTGACTTCATGGGGTGATTGACTGTTCTCTTACTGTTGTTGTACATAAAAAAAGGGTTGCAATGACTGTGACACGCACATCAAATGAAAGTGGGTTCAACTTTTAGAAAATGCCATGAGGGCTAGGAAAAAATGTTGTGTTTCCTGTTTCCTGACCAACGCTAAAAATATCTGCTAACCCTAGCCATTATTTTTGTGTGGACCCCTGCAAGGGACACAGATTTTTTTGAGCTGATGGACCTTTTCTATTTCCATGATCTGACACCTGAGTGATGAAACATTGTACAATTGGTTTTCCAACATTAAGGCCACAACAATTTAATTTGTTGGTTCTCAGACAGTTGAGGAAAGTCCTTTTCTTCCTAGTTGTTACAGTTTTTCCATCTATCAAAGCAGTGGTTTGATTGAAAGTTCAAAATTCATTGTTTAAATATTAATAGTAACCCAGCCTTTTGTGTTGACTTCATTGCTCCTATAATAATTATTGTAGCATTTGGGGTTATTTTTTTCGCCCTGTCCTTTCATATTTTTTTCTGAAAAAATCCTAGAAACAACAAATCAAATTGGTGTGGCCTAACATTGAAAATGAAAGTGTCCTCATGTAAGTTTTACTTCAATTGTTAAACTGTACTGTGTTAGTTGGATCACTAGAGATTGCCGAAGTTTTAAAAAAGAGAAAGAAAAACTCCCTAACTATTGACACAAATTGTTTTCAGGACTTAAATAGGAAACACAACATTTTCTACATGTTTGATGTGCATACTTCTGTTTTCATGCGGAATCATTTTAATTTCTGTGTTGTTCTTTCATCTTACAGAAGAGAAGGGCCCCTCCCCACTCAAGCAGAGCAAGTCATAGCAGAATTTCATCCCACCAACCTTCTGTTGTCATTGTTTTACACATACTAAACTTGCACCTGGTCACATGTTTGGTGTAAGATTGTAACAAATTGGTTAATACAAAGTAGGCAAGAGGTATTTTTGTGGGGGGGTTGAATTGTTCATGGAGTAACTGTAAATTCAGAAACTTTTGCAGTGTGAATTAGTGACTTGTAGTCAGTACTTATTTCAACCACAAACTTCAAACAGTGCAAAAACTTTTTCCCTCCTACGACCACGAAAGTAAATTTTACAGAAGCTTGCAGTTCTATGAAAGACAAGATTATTTCATAATACGTTTTACAATGAATGATTAAAAAACGTCATTAGGCCACACCAATTTAATTTCTTGGTTAACGGATTCGCCGCTTCATTTTTTTCTGATTTGCAAATAAAAATAAAAATCCAGAATCAACTGCAAAATGCTCATATTTTGCCCTGAACAGTTGAAAACAGACCTTTCCATCCTAGTTGTTACAGTTATTCCATCTTTCAATGCAATGATATCATTAAAAGTTCAAAATTCATTGTTTAAATTTTGAACCAGCCTGGTGTGTTGACTTCATGGCTCCTATCGTACCATTTTGGGCCATAATACCATGCCTAGGCCTATTTTTATTTTTATTTTTTTTTCGCCCGCCCTCTCCATTATTTTTCTAGACACATCCGTTAACCAAGAAATTAAATTGGTGTGGCCTTATGTCTTGTAATGCAATAATACACCTACATGTAGTCTATCACTTCTATGTAGATAAGACCAAGACACAACAGTTAAATACACAGGAATTTGAGTGACCAATATACATGTAAGTAATGAGTGTGGATACTTCAATTTGTGTTACACAAAATGGAGAAGTAGCTATGGTGGTGTTTTAACCACTGGTTTGTTAACCTTGTTCTTGTGGTGGTACGATGTATCAAAGTGCCTGCTTCACTTTAACCTCTGGTATGCCAAGTCAATGTAAATCAGTACTGATTTCAACCAGTGTAGCATGCTGACAGTTAAATTTTGGTTCAATTTAGGTTGACCTTGTTAAAATTTTGAGTTCACTCAATTTTTTTTTTTTTTGGAGGCTCCTGTTTTATATTATATGTACATATGTGTGTATGTTAACAATTAAAACACTATCATATACTGTATGTGTGAATGTTAACATAGCAATGGTTGTGTATGTTGTAGCTGACATAACTACAATATGTAAAGTGTATGTGACATTGTGTAGTTTTTCTGACAAGTATGTGATTTAAAAAAGCCAAGTAGCAGCTACTTTATTTTATGTACAATTTATATCACTGACTCACTTTGGTGTTACACAAGTAAAACATGTAAATGCTATGTCCGTGTTTTGTGCATTCCTTTGTGCGCCACCTGGCAGATCAGAAATAAATTGCAGGTTCTTATACTGCTGTATACAAATTATGTATTTGCACACGACGTAAGTTAAAGGGGCATTATGAAACATTTTGCGCCAGAAATTAAAATATTTAACTGAAAAATCGTGGAAACAAATGCAATTAACTTAAACTTCTTAAAGTAAATGTGCTAAAGTAACTATTTATACAATGTCACACGAGGCACAGTAAGTTTGTGGAACCACCACATAATACCAGAATGTAAACAAACATGGCGGACAGCTGTCAGGTCGTCATGGGGGATTTCAGGAAGGCAATGATTGCATGCTAATCACGGAAAGTCTGAAATCTACAATTTCTTATCTTACGAATGAATTGTACCCCTGTAACCGAATTGTTCTTAACACCAGGACACAATGGCCAAAACTATACATTTTGGTCTGAATTCCGACTCTAAAAATAGCAACAAGACTGGCAATGAAAACATGGTGGTTGCTGTTAGGGTTATTGTGTGCATGGCACTGCCATGATTTCATGATTTTGAAGGAAGCCTTAAGTCTAGACAGATACAGTGCACTCATCCCCAGAGTGTATTGTGAACGAGCCCCGGGGTCACAGAAAGTATAATTAGGGCAGACAGGTCTTCCCAAGGGTTCCAGGAATGTGGGCATAGATGTGGGTCAGAGGAATGCCTGTGGGCATGCCGCATGCCTGTGGACAAAATGCCTGTACCATTCCTAGAATTCAGAATTCTTGCAAACTGCGCACAATACTGTATCCTTAGGCTCCTCGCGATACATAACAACATGTTGACAGACCCGTTCAGTGTAAACACAGGAGTCAAACAAGGATGTATTTTATCCCCTCTTCTATTCTCTCTGGCTATAGACTGGCCCATGAAAATGTCACGAAAGATAAAAACAGAGGCATACAGTGGACGATCAATTCAGTATTAGAAGATCTAGACTATGCCGATGACTTGGGGCTCCTCTCAAGCAGACATACTGATGCACAAGAGAAAACAGGAAGATTAAATGAAACATCCAACTCCATTGGGCTCAAAGTAAATGAAGGAAAGACACAAGTCCTGAGGAAAAACACTACAAATAACGCCCCAATTGTGGTTAATGGAAAAGATCTAAAGGAAGTCAAAGAGTTCACTTACCTAGGCAGTAAAGTAACTGCAGATGGAGATTGCAACAGGGAGGTGGACTTAAGGATCAGTAAAGCAAACCAAGCTTTTGCAATCCTCCGGCCAGTATGGAAGAACAAACAAATACATACCAGGACAAAAATCAACATCTACAGAAGTAACGTCCTCAGTGTTCTCTTATACGGAGCTGAATGTTGGAAAGAGACATCTTACATCAAAAACAACTTAATGTCTTCCAAAATAAATGTCTGCGTAGAATACTAAAAATCTTCTGGCCAAAAACGATCTCCAATAGAAATCTCCATCTAAAAACAAGACTCACGACAATAGACCAAATGTTGATAAACAGACGAGGGAGATGGTTAGGTCATATATGCCGCATGCCACCAGATAGTATCAGCAGAACAGCTCTAAGATGGACGCCTCAGGGCAGGAGACCTAGAGGACGACCGAAGGAAACATGGCGAAGAACTATCGACAAAGAAGTGCGGAGCCATGGTTTCACTCTCGATGAGGCACCAAAGATGGCAGCGGACCGGGCCAGATGGAAGACCTTCCTTCTGCCTTTTATATATAGAGCCATGCTGGCTCAGAAGAGGACTAAGTAAGGCTCCTCCCTGAGACGTGGCCAAAACAATTCAAAATCACAAATTTTCAGTGGAGTATGACAAAAGAATTTATAATGTTCTTTGGGCATGTCTCCAAGGCACCGGTACCTATTTATCAAATTCCAGATAATACAAGGGCACAGGGACCAAAAATGTACATTTTGTCAGTAAAATTTTTTGTCATTATTGATTAGCCTGGGTGCCATCCTCCGTAGTTTCTGCATCACTTAATATATGGCCATTCACACACCCGATGCGAACCCATGCATCACACAGAATGAACACACTGACTCCTCATGTAGTGTTAGGCCGTGTTTAAGTGAAATCACCCAAGGCGGTTTACATGTGGTTTCCCCCGAAGCCGGTTTCAAGTGGCTCCATGTGAACGCTCCGAAATCACATTGAAAGCGCCTCGATCCCAAGTCACTTCTAGAGGTGGTTTCGAATCGGTTTCCCCGCATCGCGATTTGCGTCTGAACGCAATGTGATTTCAATGTAACTTCACCTGGTCATGGATTACGGGGTGATATTTCTTTATTTATATACAATACCAACTTTTAGGTGGCAGCAACTTAAAGAGCAGTAATGGTCAAATAATGTGTCCGTTCTAGGGCGAGCTTCACCGCCTCTGGCGGGACCACGTCGGCATTCGGCCGAGATACGCTGGGAGGGGGGCATCAGCATTAGCAGGTCGTTGACCTCTGACATTAATAACACGCCATCTTGCGTGTTATCATCAAACAGCAATAAATGTAGCTCAAGCGAATTGTGATCGGACACGGTTTCACCAGATGTGAGGAATGTGAGTTACCCGAATCGCGGTTTGGGTGATTCCGCTTTAACAGTACAGTAGGTGTGACCGTGTGCCTGGACACACGCACCGCATCGTCGAATCATGTCCCTAATATACCTTTTCCACACCTGGAGATCACGCACTGTCCACGTGATCTCTCACCTGTTGTCCACACCTGCGTTACTGCAGAAACTTAATTTCACGCTAATGACTTCGTCAAACGCTAGAAATTTCCATTTTCAACCGGTTCCCTAATGTCACTGGCTACCCCGGAGCCGGCGGAACCTACGGGGGACGGCACCCAGGCTAATCATTGACAGGGCCACCTTGTCAACAGCCTCAGGTCTACGTAAAACCTGTCTGACAACTTGCAGACACTAGCGTCCAAAATTCAGTCCCGCAAAGGAGGCTATGCCTAGTATTTCCGTGTTTTAATAAAAAGGTCCCGCCTTTTGAATTTAACAACAAAAAATTATCAGATCCTCGATTTACCACCTGAAACGCGTCTATTCTGCGTGTTTCCGCCGCCCGTTTGGATCCAAAGCCGCGGCGAATCTACTGGAAACCAGCGTGGACTGGAGCAGCCAGCCGCCGGCTCGACTCCGGGGGAGACCGTTTCTAGTCGGCTCAGATAGCCCCGGCGTGCCGGAGTTCCTACAGCCGCCGAGGGAGGGGTTCCCGCCCGTGTATGTCCCCGCGGAGAACGGGGAGTTCTCGCCAGAGGAATGGGCGGTCGCGGTCCGGGAGGCGACACGGGACGAGGTAGGCGTCGGTGCCGTGCTAATTCGCGGCATGCCGCTGCGTACAGCCAAGGATTTTTCCAGGTATCTATTAGTAAACATTTTCAAGATACATTTGGTAAACAGACGGTGTACATATTCATTAGGTCAGAGTATGCTGCAAACCTGCATCATAGGGGGCACATAGCAGTTTATTTTGGGTCTCAATTCGATTCTGCATACCCTCAACTCTAGCGACCGTCTCTTTCAGGAAATACCTTTTAAGCCAAAACACTGTGTTTGCAAATGAAGGATATCCCTCTAGCTACGAGAACAATAGAATTTCGATTTCTTTCACCTCTCACATTTTAGTAAATTTTAGGGGGAAAATAATTTTTCGATGAAAAATGATGCCAAAAATTCGCCATTTTCACGTGGAATCAGACCCATCACCCAGAATTTAGCCACCGATATGGTCGGAAAGAGAAAAACCTTATGTATTATTAAGAAAAGTATAAAGAAATTGAATCCTATCACTGAGATTATCACAATAGCCCGTCGCGCGAGGCATAGCGACAACACCCCCAGAACGCATACAAGGTATATCAGGTCAAACCGAAGCACCGCGCTGAAGGTGAAGGACACACGGAAGTACGGTGGCCCGTAAGTACAGACATACGTGTCTACGCGAATACCTTCACGTCACTGCGCGAGTACCTTCCATGTCTACGCGAATACCTTCCACGTCTGCACGAATACCTTCCACGTCTGCGCGAGTACCTTCCATGTCTACGCGAATACCTTCCACGTCTGCGCGAATACCTTCCACGTCTGCGCGAATACCTTCCACGTCTGCGCGAGTACCTTCCACGTCTGCGCGAATACATTCCACGTCTGCGCGAATACTGTCCACGTCTGCACAGAAAAAACTTCCTCTGCACGAATACCTTCCACGTCTGCGCGAGAACCTTCCTCGTCTGCGCGAATACCTTCCTCGTCTGCGCGAATACCTTCCTCGTCTGCACAGGAAAGGGTATCCGGAAAAGATGGGATAGGCTATGGCTAGGGCTACCTTGATGGCCTTGTGATTTCTATTGCATGGTTGTCAATAACCTTGCGATGTTAGATGGAAGATGAGAATTGACCGGCTCACAGATTTTGTAGGACATAGGACGTGGGGCCATGCCATGTTTAATCACAATGAAAGTTCATCTTGTGTTTGTAGTTACATGTTTAAAGTTAAAACTTTTGGTCCAACACACAAAAAAAGTTCTGTCACCTAGAGCTGTCGACCAGTCACTCTGGTCTTCCTCAGTAGACCTAGCCAGTGAAGCTTGTCACGTGGCTTCTTTGAAGTGTGACGTCAACACTGGGTCAAAGGTAGACGATGTCGGCCCCCGTCGCGGTCAGTCTCCTGAGGAAGACCAGAATGACTGGTCGAAAGCTCTAGGTGAGAGAACTTACTTTTTTGTGTTGGGCCAATAGTTTTAACTTTAAACATGTCTAATCTAGCCTGGGTGCCATACGAATTTGATTTTTTCGGGGTAGCCGTTACAAATTCGGATGGCACCCAGGCTATGTCTAATCATGTTGGTTTTTCAATAGGTGTGTGAACAGTCTGGCCCTGAAGCCGATGTCGTATGAAGGGGGAGCCGCTAAGAGAGAAAACGTCGAGAGTAACGTCGACACTGCAAGTTATGAACACCCCCTCATGTCCATAGAACCGCACAACGAGATGTCCTACGCACGCTACTACCCGGAAAAGGTGTGTGTGTGTGTGTGCGCGCGCGCACGCGCGTGCGTAAATGTGTGTGTGTGTGTGTGTGTGTGTGTGCGCGAGTGGATGTGTGTGTGTGCGCGCGCGCGCGTGTGAATGTGTGTGTGTGTGTGCGCGCGCGCATGTGAATGTGTGTGTGAATGTGTGTGAACGTGTGTGTGAATGTGAGTGTGTATGAGTGTGTGTGAATGTGTGAGAGAGTTTCTAAGTGTACGTGCGCGTGTGTGTATGTGTGAATGTGAGTGTGTGTGAATGTGCATGTGTGTGTATGTGTGTATGTGTGAATGTGTGTGTGAATGTAAGTGTGCTTGAGCGTGTGTGTGAATGTGTGTGTGTGCGTGTGTTGTGTGTGTGTGAGCGTGCACGTGTGTGTATGTGTGTGTGTGTGTGTGTGTGTGTGTGTGTGTATGCATGTGTGTGTATATGTGTATGTGTAAATATGTATGTGTGTGTGTGTGTATGCATGTGTGTGTATATGTGTAAATATGTATATGTGTGTGTGTGTGTGTGTGTGTGCATGTGCGTGTGTGACCTTGAGGTGATCGATTGATTGATTGATCGATCGATTGATTGATTGATTGATTGATTGATCGATTGTTCCGAAGATCATCTTCTACTGCCAGCAGCCCGCGGATCCGGGGCAGGGCGGGGAGACTGTGATGGTGGACGTCCGCGAAATCTTACGCAACCTGGACTCGGCTGTCGTCGACAAGTTTCGGAAACTCGGAATCCGGTACCACAGATACATGCCGGAACGGGGAGATTTCTTTCACGGGTACAACTCCTGGAAAGAGGTGAGTTTTGTCAACCCCAAAGTCTACTCAATAATGTCTATTGAATAGCGAAGAAGTGGGGTCGCGTGGCGTGGCGGCAGAGTGCTCGACTCGGAATCAAGAGGCCCCGGGTTCGAGTCCTGACATGCCACCGATCTTGTTCCCTTGGAAAAGGCACTTAACACGCCTTTTCTCACTTCGCTTAGGTGAAAATGAGTATTGTATTGTCCCGTGTTGGTGGCGACATTAATATAAGTTGAAAAAAAACTTAAGCGTGCCGTCACCACGTCTTGTGATTAGATGTTGGAATATAAAAAAAAATAATAGGGAAGAACTTCGCCTGTGTTCTCTTATCGAATTTCCGGTGAGACCGGAAAGTTAGAAGTTAGTTATATCGTTGTATTTTTTATCATACATGTTGTTTGTACCTGGAATTAGCCCTGGGGCATGTATTTGCAATAAACTTTCTACAATTGCCTGTTGGTTATAATAATTACGACTTTTAAAGTTTAATTTAATTTTCAAACTTTGCCACCGAAAGATCTGCTTGAAGACTCTAACCGCCTCCCACAATATCACAGACCTTCCGCACGGAGAGCAGGGATGACGTAGAGAAGTACATGACGTCACAAGAGATGACGTGGCAGTGGGGAGAGGACGGGTCCATCTCCTGGTGGTACAACCTTCCCGCCATGAAGCTTTACAAAGGTCAATGGATTATACATTGTTATGTACTTTTCAAGGTCATTATGTGATGTATTCGTTTAAGAAACCTGGTAGGTGCAAGGCCAAAAGATAACACTTGTAGGCACTAAAATAAGTGTTGCCGCTTCAATATGCTTGCATTTGTATATGACTTAATTAACTTCATCCATTTATTACATCATCCTTTTAATTCTGGAACCCAAACATACAAACCCCGTAAACCAGCGCCACCCAAAAGAGTACTTCCGTCCAGGAAGTAAAAAAACAACGGCAACAACAACAAACTGTCGCTACCTATTGTTTCTGTTGTAGCAGAATGGTTGTGGATTTGCTAACTCAACTCTGGAGCCCAAACATACACGATATACAAGTGCCGCCCAAAACAATGCTTCCATCACAAAAGAATTACTATCGTCTGAAATTAATTTTTGGCGACGTCTCAGGGAGGAGCCTAATGATACAGTATTGTGTGCAGTTTGCAAGAATTCTAGAAATGGCATTTTGTCCACAAGAATGGAATGTCCACAGGCATGTCTCTGACCCACATTTATGCCCACATTCCTGGAAACTCTTGGGAAGACCTCTCTTCCTGGATGACCCTTCTTTCTGTGACCCCGGGGCTCGTTCACTGTACACTCAGGGGAGGAGTGCACTGTATCTGTCTAGACTTAAACAGGTATCAAGTCTTCCTCAAAGTCATAAAATGATGGCAGTGCCATGCAAACAATAACCCTAACAGCAACCACCGTCGCCATGGCAATGTATGTTTTCATTGCCAGTCTTGTTACTTTTGTAGGAGAGTGGTTGTGGTTTTGCCAGCCCACCTTAGGCAATGCCGACTTCATCACAACCCATCCTGACTACGACAGCACCAGACCTATCCCTCCTCACCTGTGCCCATTCAACAGCCAATATGGCGACGGCTCGGACATCGAACCGGAAGTACTTCAACACATACGGGATGTGACGTGGCAGGTGGGGTCAGATTTACTCTACGGGAGAATGACCTTGGAATCAAACAGGATTCCAAGGAATGACCTTGGCTATGTCTTAAATTCATTGAGCTCAAATGATGTGAAATAATGACCAAATCTGTGACTTTGTTGAATGTTTTGATCCGTCTGATTCTACAATACCCACTTTTTTTAATGGACTTGACTTTATTCTTTACATGTGAATGGTGCGTCACAAACCGTCATAACAAACGTTCTATATGGGGCTCTTCACTCCAGAAGTGGGTATTATTTTCTGATAAATAACATTTTTGAAGATTCAAATGCACCCGACTTTTGGCTAAATTACCCCAGCTGTCCTTTCGACAATAATCCTTTCCTAAATATCCATGTACACCCATTACAGACCCGCTTCTAATATGTATATAGGGTCGTACTACACGCATACGTAACCAGTATGGTCAACTTCGGGAACGATCACAAGAATCGGAAGGTTTACAAAACGTTGAAAAACCTACCGTCTTGGGATACAGAGATTTCGCCACTTTTTTATTGACCCTCCCCATCAACACACAGTGCGCATTGAACTCTGGGATTGCCGAAAGGGTCTTTCCGGGGTTTTTATAGATTCGATCGCTATAATGTTCGCCCTACATTCAGGCTTCAACTTATGGTACATATGACACAACAAAGTGGATTCCAGCATACAAATTTCTTCTCTGGTGAATCATAATACCCGCTTCTGCAGTAGAGAGCTCCTTTAAAGGCACCCAGTGCAGTTTCTAGGGCTTGGAACCTCAATTTTTCGAAGCCAATATTCTAGTCATTTATCTACATACTGAGATGAAACCACATTATCCCAATGTATATTGTCCCTCATAGAGTAAAAATTAAAAGAATTCTGACTGAAAATGGTTACTAGAAGGGCCCTTGGATGATTTTTAGGGCACCACCCAAAAAAGGACTCTTGGGGCTTCTTTCTGCAGTTTTAAAAGCCCAAAGTATTTAAATACTGACTCAAATGTGCTAATGTGAAGCAGTATGTGTCAATGTCACAAAAATTGCCATATTCAGAATATTTTCAGCTTTGCTGCCCTGAAATCGCATTGGATGCCTTTAATATCCGTATGTTAATTTCAGGCCGCAGTCGGGTTCCAGATGAAGAGACGAGACGTGTTGGTTCTGAACAACATGTACATCCAACATGGCCGCCTGGGTTACACGGGCGACAGGAAACTACTCGTGTATCTGGCTGAGTCAAGTGTCTGAACTTGGACATGATCTGACATCAAGTGTCAGAGTCATCTTTTTGCAACTATATTCACCAATTTCACACTTCCCATAATGCCAAGTAACGGTCACGGATATGCAGAGATATGACGTAAGACCCCCCCCCCTTCCTCGATGTAATATTTCCAACAAATTCTATCGACAAACTGGTCAACTATTGTTTTGAATTATTTATCTAGTATAAAGCACATGCCATAATTGCATTTTTGTTGGAATTAGAGAAAATGACGTACCTTCTATCGTTCCACCTTCTACCGAAGACTCTCCTACTCGCACGGTCGCATGCATTACCGAGTAGGAGAGTCTTCGAAGGTACGTCATTTTCTCTAATTCCAACAAAAATGCAATTATGGCATGTGCTTTATACTAGATAAATAATTCAAAACAATAGTTGACCAGTCTGTCGATAGAATTTGTTGGAAATCTCGACCGTTACTAGGCATTATGGGAAGTGTGAAATTGGTGAATAGTGCATGAGGAAAGAGACTCTTTGGAGTTGGGACCTGTACGTTTGGGACCGCATTGTATGCGTAACGTAGTTACATTTCCCTGTAATCATGCAGATGTGTAGATAATGTAAATCATAATTATTGTACAATTGGGAACGCATTGGGTACCCTGTACCTCAGGGTACAGTCCTGGGTCCGATTCTCTTTTTAGCATACATCAATGATCTTCCTAAATACGCTGCACATGCTAAAGTCAGGCTCTTCGCCGACGATTGCATCTTGCAAATGAGTATCAAGGAAGAAGACGACTGTAAAAGACTGCAGCATGACATCGATAGTATTTGTAGTTGGGAGAAGGAGTGGTTGATGGCCTTCAACCCATCTAAATGTGAAGTGATGACCGTCCCCTCTTCTAGGAACCCAATAACGTTCCCTTATTCCCTCCATGACCACGTTTTAACCAAGGTAAGTACCACCAAATATCTCGGTGTTTCCATCTCCTCAAACTTGACCCGGGGCAGACATGTCGATCTAGTTACAGCGAAAGCAAACAGAACCTTAGGAATGCTGAGACGCTGCCTACGAATCTCAAGCAATGCGGCAAAGGAGAGAGCTTACATGGCTCTTGTAAGACCCTCCTTAGAGTACGGCTGTAGTGTCTGGGATCCCCACACCAAGGACCAGGTGAGTAGGGTGGAGATGGTCCAGCGTAGAGCTGCCCGTTTTGTCTGCAGTGACTACAGACGTACAAGTTCTGTTTCATCTATGTTGCAAAACCTGGGCTGGCAGTCTCTGGAAGTACGCCGGAAGATCGCCCGCCAGGTCATGCTTTATAAGATCATACATAACGCTGTCTCCGTCCCACACTCAACCAGGATTGTCCCGGTGGCTCGATGCTCCCGTCGCATCAATCACACTCAAACATTGCAGGCCATCGCGAGCAGAACCAACTTCTACAGGCTCTCGTTCTTCCCCCGCACCATCAGGGAATGGAATGAACTTGAGCCTGGTGCGGCGGAGGCGGGGTCTCTTGCCCAGTTCAAATCTGAACTGGCGAGGACCCTGCTGCATTGAGCCACCCCATCATGTCTTGTATATATGTAAATATTACTAACGCACTAATGCACTTGTCCCGTCTTTAGCACACACAAAATCAGTTGTCTTATGTTCCCTTCTCATTTATCCTTGTTTTACCTTGTTTTTATGTACTGGATCACAATTGTAACTAATCAATGCGTAACGGCTGCCAATAATCCTACATGGTAGGGCTAGGCAGTAACGGAGATGATGATGATGCATCTGTAGCAGCGACACCTGTGCTGCAGTACAATGTGAACCAGTCAGAATTGTCCCGAGGAAGGTGACAGACGGTTACCGGAACATTGGCTGAATAAAAGGCTTGGTTGTGTAGGAAGAGTCTCTTTAATCAGTGTCTTACCAACCTGAAGAAACTATATGGTGCATGATTTTAAAAAGGTCAAACATCAGAACTACTCTACACAAGAAAACTGGGTAGATTTTACAAATTATGCCTTGCCTGATTACACAAATCAAGGAAGTTGGCTGGATGGCTGGACAAAACCACCCTACTTCAATCTAATTTTTTTTATAAAGGAACTTAAAGATAAGAATACTATGGCGTCTAGAAATGCGGGAAATTATCACACCAAACAATGTACAAAAAGTGTAGTCAAAAGATGAGAACTACGTTTTCTTTAATGACGTTATTTAATTTCAATAATGGCAAGCGCAAATTATCCTTCGATTATTGATATGAAATACAGTGCTTTTTACGCTTCCCCTAAATAACATTCACATGAATTTCATTATTATTACTACAACATGTTACATAGGAAAACCTGTTAAAACACCCTTACCTAATTCATCTGTAATCTGTAATGAAATGTGGCTGATGTTCTTTCTAATGTAAGTAATTTTTCTTAGTAACATCTATGATACAATACATTTATGAATTATTTTTATAGTGTGTTATTGCAATTGGAAATCGTTACTGCTGGCGCTTATTCAAAGGCTTTGCCAAAAATGCATGGCATTTGAAGAAAGTATAGACTCTAAGATTTTCATTGATGCATAACACATCAGGGTATTTTGGAGTAAAAGAGCCAAAAGTAGCAGAACCTCCTATTCACGAGTTTCCCATCCCCAGAATACATTGCGAAAACAGGGGTCTAAACCTCATTTGCATAGGACAGGAAGGTATCGGAATGATCCTAGTGACGTTAAACAGCTTGCTTTGAGTGTGTTTTGAGGCTCTACGTTGAATTAGAGTGGTCCATCTACGCCCTACGTAGAATTAAAACGGCCTATATTACGCTCTACGAAAAAGGGCATGCGGACCCCCACAGACGTCTTCTGATGACAACGTCATTCTTTCTTCTCCAGGCTGGTGACCAGGGTTCCGTTTACGCTGACGTCCTCAGGGTCCAGACGGTGGAAAATCACCACGATCCTAGGAACATAATTGAAAGTTTATTGCAAATTCATGCCCGGGGGGCTAATTGCAGATTACAAACATAAAAGGAAAATGAAACGTAGTGTAAAATAACTAAAATCTACATGATAAAAGGTAGTTGTCTAGAGCTATAGCTATGTCTAAAACTATGTCTAAGGGGTTTTACTTCTCTTTTTTCAGACCATAGAAGACGTAATGTCCCACCTTTTCTAAAATTAGTGGGTTTTGGGAAGTTAAAAGAAGAATAGTTTTTTCTTGGTCTGTAAGTTTAGTAAAATTGGGATAAATTGTAGAAGTTTGAATAGTTAACTCATTTCGAGCGTTGCTATGAAAGGAACAATTTGAGATAAAGTGTATTTCGTCTTCCACAGCCTTTGCATTACAATATTTACACATTCTTTCACATACAGGTACATAGAAACACCAGAGAGAACTTGATTATTTTTTCATTAAAGCACATAAAAGAAAATACAAGACTGCGATGACGACGCACTCAAGTTCATACACTTATACAAGCGCCACCATCGAACAGATACATAATACTACATGAAAGTTACATACAAGTGTAAGTCTTTGGCCCTGTTCATATGAAGTCAGTGCAAGCGCTTTACATGTGGTTTCCCCCGAAGCCGGTTTCAAGTGGCCCCGTCTGAACGCTCCAAATCACATTGAAAGCGCTTCGATCCCAAACCACTTCTAGAGGTGGTTTCGAATCGGTTTTCCCGCATCGCGATTTGCGTCTGAACTCGATGTGATTTCAATGTGACTTCACCTGGTCATGGATTTCGGGGTGATATTTCTTTATTCATATGCAATATCAAAATTTACGTGGCAGCAGCTTCAAGAGCAGTAATGGTCGAATAATGTGTCAATTCCAGGACGAGCTTCATCGCCTCTGGCGGGACCACGTCGGCATTCGGCCGAGATACGCTGGGAGGGGGGCACCAGCAAGCAGGTCGTTGACCCCCTGACATTGATAACACGCTACCTTGCGTGCTTTCATCAAACAACAATGAATGCAGTTTCGTAGAATCGTGATCGGGCACGGTTTCAAATGCGAGTTACCCGAATCGCGGTTTGGGTGGTTTCATATGAACAAGGCCTTTGATGAGATTGAGATATCATATCCTCACCTGTCGTACTTCACAGGTAGTTTCTCGGACAGGAAGTCGGTAAAAGCCTTGGAGTATTTCTCCTTGTCTTTCTCCTGGTCGAAGTCCTTGATAGCTGAGATCTCGAACTGTATGTACGGATCGAAAGAGCCCCCTCGAAAAATCCTTAGCCCGGCGTCCACATGAACGGCCACCCTCTGTGGGAAGATAAAAAGCAAAATGTGTATTCGCCATTTTGTAGTCTCCACCAGACTCGTTTGCATGCTGAATAGATAGCAGAAATCGGCCTAAAAAGAATGTAGCCGGCCATGGGAGTTCGTCGGCCATAGAGGGTCCAGTTTGCCTGCATAGAACTGGACACTCTATGGCAGGCCAATTCCCCTGGCCAGCTATTAATCCAACTTCTACTGTTCAGCCTGAAAATAGTCTGGTGGAGATCATAATCTATTCAAATCATTACCTCATTTGCCTAATTTATGAGGAAGTGCTAGGCTGTCATTAGGTGGAGAATATGATCAATGGATATGATCCATGCAAATGAGGCTTTTATGTGTAAAATCAAGGATTAAAATTGCATAATTTGTCAGCCGACGGGTTAACATCATTTGGCGAAGGTATGAGATCGTGGAACTCTTGTTTATATTGAATTCGCGTCGTGCAAAACCTACCGGGGAGGCTGGTCGATCTGAACTGGGCGGCAAAGAACGTTTACAGGCCCGACGGGAGCAGGCCCAAAACCACGATAGACTAAACACCAGGCTATATTAGAAGCCTGGACGTTTTACCCATTCTTCCTTGTAGAGAAGCTCGGCGATCATCTTGAATGTCTCTTTCATGAACTCATCGCTGATCTGGTCCGAGGACAGGTTGGTTTTGATGTGAGCCACCGGCATGTCTTTTTCTTGTGCTGCATCATAGATAATAGTAAGGTAATGATGTAAGGCCACACCAAGTAAATTTTATGGATGACGTCTGCGCGCGCATTGATTTTGGCCTGTTCCTAAAAAAAACAAGAAATTTCGCTTCCTGTAACTAAGACCAAAGAGTCACGACAGTGCTGCAAATCGTCAGATTGACGTGAAACCCGTAACGCGAAGAAAGACCATCCTGTCAATAACAGAAAATTTGCAATATTGACAGGACCATCCTGTCAATAACAGAAAATTTTTCACTGTCCACTGTTCCACCTGATTTATTGCTGTTTTGATGATGAATAAAAAACATCTTGCTTGTTACACTGTGTCACTTCATTCAATTTGTGTCCTAACATTTGACGTCTCTTAGTATATTTCTAATCTAGGCATTTTGTTTTTTAGGGCCCTTCCTGTTTTTTTTTCGCATTAGATTTAGGGTCTCCAAAGGACGTCATCCATAAAATTTACTTGGTATGGCCTAATATACATGTAGAAAGACAGACGTCACTCACGTACACTGTACAATTCGTGATGTTATACCATTTCTTGGGCAACGTCAAGATATTCGACACTACAAATGAGCATTTGTGACATTTGTGATTGGATCAAAGCTATCTACGTGTACTAGTACCTACCAGGCTTCAAATGATTGCTGAAAAATAGAAGAAATTGGCCAAATATACTGGATAATGATGTTCGAGAGGATAAGCCAGACTAGGGAGTTACAGTTTTTTTAACCCACTCATGACTTTTCAGTAACCCATCAGATTCTGATAGGCTAATGTACGCTAGGACAAGCAGCCTTCATTTAACTGGGACGGGGACAGGTACCGACTTCCAACTACCTTTGACCGGGGGTTAACCTCTCACTTCTGGTGTTAACCCTACCTAGGA